ATGTTTACGGGCGAATTGGCGGAAAGCCGTCAAACAGAAGTGATGATACGGGACATCGACGAGCACGCGATGGAACTGCTGGTGGACTTCGCGTATTCGTCGCATATAGTGGTGGAGGAGGCGAACGTCCAGGTGCTGCTGCCGGCCGCGTGTCTCCTGCAGATGACCGAAATACAAGACGTCTGCTGCGAGTTCCTGAAGAAACAGTTGGATCCCAGCAATTGTCTGGGAATCCGGGCCTTCGCCGACACCCACTCCTGTCAAGAGTTACTCCATTTCGCCGATAAGTACACTCAGGATCGGTTCCAAGAGGTGATCGACAACGAAGAGTTCCTGCTGTTGCCGGTCAACCAACTCATTGACATTATATCGAGCGATGAGCTGAACGTCCGGAGCGAAGAGCAAGTGTACAGTGCGCTCATGTTGTGGGTTAAGTACAACGTTCCCGAACGGCGCCAGCATTTGGCGCATGTCTTACAACACGTCCGACTCTCGCAATTAACGGCCAAGTATTTGGTGGGAACTGTTGGCTCGGATTTGCTCGTGAAATCGGATGAGGCGTGTCGTGACTTAGTGGACGAGGCGAAGAACTATCTGTTGCTACCGCAAGAGCGGCCGCTTATGGTTGGGCCGCGATTTAGGGCCAGAAAGCCGGTGCGAAGGGGTGAAGTGCTGTTCGCAGTGGGCGGTTGGTGTAGCGGCGACGCCATCGCCAGTGTTGAGCGATACGACCCGCAGTCCAATGAGTGGCGAATGGTTGCGCCGATGAGCAAACGCCGGTGTGGTGTCGGCTGCGCTGTACTCAGCGATCTGTTGTACGCCGTCGGCGGACACGACGGCCAAAGCTATCTGAATAGTATCGAGCGATACGACCCGCACACTAACCAATGGTGCGGTGATGTGGCGCCCACCAGCTCTTGCCGCACGTCTGTAGGAGTGGCCGTTTTGGACGGCTTTCTATACGGTATGCGCTAAACGTTAATATAATTGACATGTTTTCTAAATCTATGGATTGGTTTGTGTGCAGCGGTTGGCGGTCAGGACGGCGTTTCGTGTCTCAATTTTGTTGAACGATACGACCCGCAGACCAATCGGTGGAACAAAGTCGCGGGAATGAGTACCAAACGCCTGGGCGTTGCCGTTGCGGTGCTCGGCGGCCATCTGTACGCCATCGGCGGCTCAGACGGCACGTCACCACTAAATACCGTCGAGCGTTACGACCCGCGCACTAATAGGTGGTGTCCGGTGTCCCCAATGGGCACTCGACGTAAGCACTTGGGATGCGCTGTATATAATAATATGATTTATGCGGTCGGCGGGAGGGATGACACCACTGAACTCAGTTCCGCCGAACGATATAATCCGCAGTCGAATCAATGGCAGCCAATCGTTGCGATGACTTCGCGGCGATCCGGTGTCGGACTGGCCGTTGTTAACGGTCTCCTCTATGCTGTCGGCGGTGAGTCTTATTTGGCGATAATGTTTGAGAGAAAAGCCTATAAAATGTGATAATTGATGATTTGAATAGGTTTTGATGGATCCACTTATTTGAAGACAATCGAAGTGTACGATCCGGAGAAGAATCAGTGGTGTCTCTGCGGTTCAATGAATTACAGACGACTCGGCGGTGGTGTCGGTGTCGTACGGCTACCACATCTCGAGACTTATTTCAGATGATCTTACGGTTAAAGCTTTGATAGGTTTAGGTTTGAAAATCAAATATTATTGCAATAATCGATTGGAGTGTAGAGTCGAGAGGACAGGTGGGGGAGAAGAGGGGGTCCCAGGAATTAGGTTTCATTATAGCATTTAAATGATCAGAGCGTCGGTC